AGAGAGAGAGAGGAGAGAGAAGAGGATATGAGAGAGAGAGAGGAGAGAGAGAGAGAGAGGAGAGAGGTGAGAGAGAGAGAGAGAGAGAGAGAGAGAGAGAGAGAAGAGAGAGAGAGAGAGAGAGAGAGAAGAGAGAGAGAGAGAGAGAGAGAAGAGAGAGAGAGAGGAAGAGAGAGAGAGAGAGGGAGAGAGAGAGAGAGAGAGAGAGAGAGAGAGAGAGAGGAGAGAGAGAAAAAGGGAGAGAGAAAGAGAGAGAGAGAGAACAGCGGCCGGTACAGGATTGAGACAGACAGACACAGAAAGACAGAGACAGAAACAGAGGGATGCATATAATGGGCGACAGACAGAGACATGGACTCAGAGGAACAGAGACAAAGACAGACAAACAAAGACGAACAGACTGACGATCAGATCCTGAAAGACAGAGACAGAAAGAGAGGGACAAACATTAAGAAAAAACAGGAAGGACACACAGAAACACAGACTCAGGAGAGAAACAGACAGAGACAGACAATCAGACACAGAAAGACAAAGACAGAGACAGGCACAGAAGGACACACATAATGAATGACAAAAGGAGAGACAGACACAAAGACTCCGAGAGACAGAGCGAGAGCCAGAGGGTCCTTGGGGAGAGAGTCAGAAAAAAATGAGAAAGAGAGAGGTAGACACAGAAAACAGACAGAGCCAGAGAAAAAGAAACTGGGAGAGGGACAAAAAGAGACAGAAGAATAGAAGCAGAGAGAGAAATGCAGACATAAATACAGGGACAGGCAGACAGACAAAGCAACATAGACAACTATAGAGAGACAAGCAGAGGCAGCCAAACAGACAGACCGAGACAGGGAGACAGTTGGAGAGTTACAGAGACAAACACAGACAGGCAGACCAAATGGCCGAGACGAAGTCTCAGAGAAACACATAGACAAACACACACAGAGAGAAATATAGAGGCACACAGACAGGCAGACTGACAAAGACAGGCAGAAGGAGAAGGACAGACAGACAAGATTTAAACAGACGAAAGGCACACAGACAGGCAGAAGGAAAAAGACAGACAGACAGACGAGAGATAAACAGACCGACAGATATATACAGAGAGAGGGAGAGGGAGAGAGAGAGAGAGAGAGAGAGAGAGAGAGAGAGAGAGAGAGAGAGAGAGAGACGCGACCACTGGTAACATCTGTAGTCAGTCAGGCGGGCCGAACGTTTTCCCCAAATTGGGCAGCGCTCCTGTAACAGCTAGTGCAAACGACTGTGCGCACGAGGTTCTGGTGGCGAACCTACAATTGCTGTTCACGGACTTCAAGAAAGAAATTCGTGCCGACCTCACGACGATCGGAAAAGATCCGGTCAATGCTCTAGACAAACGCCTCACAGCTGCCGAAAAGCTCATCGCGGAGCACGCTATCGAACTCAACCGTCTCAAAACCGAGACACGCAAACTGAAGAGTCTTGTATAGAGACAGGTCCAGAATGTATCAAAAATAGATGATGGAGCTCGTTCCGCCATTATGGAACTTGAGAAGAAGCTGGATGACGTGACGTCTAGACAGCCAGACGCCACCACTGATACCCAACAGCAACAAATGGCAGGTGCTGCCAAAATTGGCACCGCGAATGTCTCCCTCATACGGGACCTCGTCGAAGAGGCCTAGACTTAGTCCTAGTACCGAATACACTGCAATACACCTCACCTAAGAGTCAAGCACAGGCCGACCTCCATCTCCATACCTGCTCAGTAGAATGTGCGACGTGTCCGACCACCAACTTGTAACTGTACAACTATGCACCTCCTCACTACCAATCGTACGCTCCCAACATCACTTCTACACTCGCAAACCACCCATTCGTACGCTCCCTATTTGTGAATTCCAGACAAGTGTAGCTCAACAAATGGCCAATCTACAAACTCACAACGATGATCTCCAGAGCCTGCAGGATAAGATCACTTCTTCACTAGACCAATACTGCCCGTTGGTACAAGTACGTGCTACCAGGAAACAGAGGCCGCAACCCTGGGTCGATGACGAACTCCGTCAACTGCTTTTCCGAAGAAAACGTGCCCACCGTGCCATGACCAAACACCCAGACTGTGCACGTCTTGTCCAGAACTTCAGATGCCTTAGACGGCAATGTAAATTGCTTACTAAGAAAAAGTGCTCTGCATTCTTCCAGCAACAACTGCATGACCATCGACGCATGATCCACGTGCCCAGTGGTTCATTCTCCACACTTTACTTGGAAGGAAGAAGATCTCGCAAAATCCTGCTGCAAGTCTGCACGATATCACAACTACGTTTGCCAAGGTCATTATAGATCCTTCGCTCAACTCACAAATCACTCTGACAATTCCACATGGGCCACTGCCTCAACACTCTTTCTCGGAGTTTACCGCTGTGACAGCCGATGACATCCTGGCTCTCCTACGACGTCTTGACAACCACAAGGCCACAGGTCCTGAGTTGATCGTTCCCACCATCTACAGGATACTTGGAGAGCAAATATCAGCACCACTCGCACGGCTCTTCTCGTCCTCACTCTCCACCAGTGAGTTTCCCGAATGCTACAAATTTGCACATGTACGTCCCATCTACAAGAGAGGTGACAAGTCCATTGCTAGCAACTACAGGCCGATATCACTGTTGCCCCAGATGGCTAAGCTTCTGGGGACACTGGCACATGAACAACTCATGGACCACATCTACACCGCTCCGAATGCGACACCACTACTCCCTCCGGAGCAATTTGCGTATCGGAAACACCACTCCTGTGAAGACCTACTGGCGTGTGTTGTGAACGACTGGCACACATCCTTTGATCAGGGACACTTTGTTCTTGCCGCATTCCTGGACATGTCCAAGGCATTTGACTCGGTAAACCAGGGCATGCTCCTACAAGAATTGACAGACATTGGCGTGGGAGGTACAGCTTTGCACTGGTTCCTTACGTACCTACAGAACCGGGAACAGCGTGTCGTCACGAATACAGCTCAGTGGGGACACATATGCAGGAAACAGAGGTGTGCCGCAAGGCTCTGTCCTTGGGCCCTCTTTATTCAATTTATCAGTTCGTAATCTTCCCTCGGCAACGAAGCACTGCAAGGCACGGCAATATGCAGATGATGTTTCCCTCTACAAAGCTGGCAAGTACCTAAACCAACTCACACTCGATCTCGCTCAGGATATTACCATTGACATTGTTCGTGATTTCCTGGCTGCACGAGGTCTCTGCCTCAATCCTGACAAGACTCAGTTCATAATCTTCAGGTCCAAGTTCACACCTTTGACCCCTGACGTCAGCCTTTAACTGAACAACACCTCAATTGCCCCTTTTGGCCTTTGCCTGAAGTGAAGTACCTTGGCATCGTTTTGGATGAACACCTTACTTTCGGTGCCCACATCGCCCACCTTGAGCGCAAGATTGGAAACAAGATCGCCGTGTTCAGGAAGATACGACACCAACTCACGGAGCACGCCAAGAAAACATTCTACATATCGTCCATCCAATCAGTTCTCGAGTACGGGTCGAACGCGTTTGCTCACTGCCTTCGTGAGGGTCAATATGAGCGCCTGGTTCGCTTGAGTAGACGTGCCTTTTCGCACGGTGTTCAACCTCACTCGCTTCAACAGCATAAGTGCACTACAAAACGCAACCATTTACTCCCACTCGCTGCTCGGTATCAGGTCAGACTTTTTGTTCTTATTTTCCGTTTACTAAATGATCTCGCAAGCCCCCTACTCTCTAGTTGTTTTTCGTTGCGCAGTGCATCGTCACACACAAACTCCTGTACACGCTCTCAAGTTTCTGCATCCCTTGCTCTTCCCCCTGCTTCAAATCGGTATGGTCTTTTTTCTCTTAGTTTTCTAGGCTCAGATCTTTGGAACTCTCTACCTGCTGACATTCGCCTATGCACATCTGTTTCTCGCTTCCGTAACCTTGTATTGGCACATTTAGGGTACCCTGTAAGAAGGCCTTAGAGGCTTAGGGCCTGGTCAGACTGCGGCAAATTTTGGTTGCATGACGAAAACAGAACAGCGTCCAGAATTTGAATCGCGATCACACTACACATGTGGGGAGAGTGAAAATTCAAACTTCTTTTCGAGCGTCAAGTGGTAATCTCCACGAACGACGTCAAATTCCTTCTCCTTGGGGATCGCCAACACCTTCAGTGCAATCCTTGCAACCATCCTTATGAGTTTTGTTGCTGTCCGTGGCCAATTAGCTCCTCGATATCGAGATGAAAAAATCAGTGATTATCAGCGTCAATGGCGTATCAGCGTCAAATCCTGTTTGGAGCGGAAAAGCGTGGTCCGTTCTTGCTTTTTTTTGGAGCGTCAACTCCCGCTTTTGCCGCTCTGGCGGCAAGTTACTATGGAGATTCGGATTATAATCCCAGGATTATTTCGATTTTGCCGCAGTCTGACCAGGCCCTTAGGCCTGTGGGGATTGCCCTATCAAAAATTTAATAATAATAATAAATAATAATAATAATAATAATACATGTAATTTGAAACTCGGATGTTCAGTACTCTGTCCGTTTTGTGCCTAGTTATTGCACTTTCTGACTGTATAATAGTATCCAGTTACAGTGATGGAGAGTTACTCTTAACTCGTATGCATTGTGTCCTTTTCTTTTCTATAAAATACATGTAATAATAATATTAATCACTAGTTTCCAATAATGCTGAATCAGAAAGGTTACAGCGTCCGTAGCTGCCCATTCCTCTAACCTCACGCGTGGAGAACCGCTGTTTTCACACGTTTTCTGCTACAATACACGTGCATCACGATACTTAGGCTGCGTTTACACGACAACGCTGGGGGTGAAAACGCAAGAAAACCCTTTCGGATGCATGGTACACTGAAGCTTACACGGTACGAAGAGCAAAACGTAAAAGTTGTACACCAAAACGGAAGAAAACCAAAACGCTGGCCAAGGTGGAAGAATTTGAAAACGGAAATGTTCTGCCGGATAAATTTGGGTGTGTAAACAGTCGAAACGATATGTTTGCCTCGTTTTCCGTCACTTGTGTTTCGTTTTCGGCCGTTTACACCGATCCGACAATCAAAAAAATTGTTTTTTATAATTTTCGTCATGTGAGGAGTGTGTTGTTTTGTGGCCTGTTCTCAACTATTGCTTGAATGTGATTGGTGCTTCCACGACAACACTTGGCACAGGACGAACTTTTGCAGATCCTTTGCTCCCGTGTAGACGCGCGAAAACGATACAAACGGAAAAAAGTAGTAGAGCACACGGGGTCGCATAGGATCTTGGTCGAGCGGAATCAGATCTTTGCGTCATAATACCGTACACACCTGAGGGGAACCCGGGGAGTCGTGGGTACTCTTGGATCAAAAACAATGGTGCCCTGCCTCGAGACCGGCCTTGCGCTGGTGTGGAGTGTACGCATCAGGGAGTAGTACAGTACGATTGTACTACTCCCTGGTACGCATGACATCAGAAGATCCGATTCCGCTCCACCAAGACCCTATGCAGAGCTGGATCGGCGTTGTACACTCTGGGGGTTGTGTACTCTTGGTGCTGTGCATGACGCGCAAGTCTTTCGAACCCTTTATGGGCGCTGTGTGTGACGCGCAAGTCATTCGAACCGCCGCTTTCGAACGCTTTATAGGCGCTGCGTATGACGCGCAAGTCATTCGAACTTGTGCGTCCCCTCAGATGTGTACGGTATCATGACGCAAAGATCCGATTCCGCTCGACCAAGACCCTAATGGGCGCTGTGTATAACGCGCGAGTCATTGGAACCGCTTATGGGCATGAGTCAGTGATGATGTAATCGGATAGTCTCTAGTCTAGTAGCACATAAAAACTGGCGACGATGCTTCAGGCAGCTTCAGTTACGGTTGTGCAGTGCTCAATGCTTACCAGATGACGAGTAGACGAAATGCTGGTAAATACACAGAGAGACTGGATGCATTTAAGCAGGGCAGAAGAAGAGATTTGCTTTCTCCCAGACCCATTATGCAACCCATTCCGGCACTTCTGCTTAGTGATTGTGAGAATTGTTTCCATCGAGCCTCCCCCCCCCCCCTTTCCAGCGTTAGACGCTGCATCTGCCGCTGGATTTACGTGGTGTTAGCTGCCTTGTCGAGTTCCCTCGGGAACGGACGGGATAATTTACTGGACTTACTGCTAGTACTAGTGCATCAGCCGTAGCGCACCATCGTGGAGATACGAACTCAGGCGGAGACATGAAATTATTTAGTAAGTCACGCACTTTCATAATTCTAACTAGCTTGAATCATACATGTAGGTATGCTGTCTTGTACACTGCTAGTTAAGATGTACTTACTTGTGAAGCCTATAAGGCCGAAACAGCTTGCAGTCTACAGCATTGGGTACTTTTCAACAAAACAATAAGAGGACAGAGAAAGTGTTTAACTCCGATATTCACGCACTAAGCGATCATCAGAAAACAGGGTACTTTTTTAACATGTAGTTTTAGGTGTACATGATTGTAGTAACATTTCGGTGTCGGAGACCTGCCAGGTTTCAGGTGTAATGCAGAATTATTAGGTGACCGGCCTACCCTTCATACTATCATAGAGTGTATGCTATAGTGCCTTTTACCTGTACATGCGCAGTGTAGGTATATCTACATTTAGGCACTACAGTCCATTTCATAACTATAGACGCGTACCTAGGCAAAAACCGTTATGCCAGCATCTATACCACATAAAGTCTGTGATCACATTGTGCATAAATTCCAAATTGGGCGGCTGTTATCCAATCGTTTAGAAACTATATGAGAGTAATTGTGGAGCGGACCTGAGCAATATTCCGAAAACTATTCTCAAAAAGTTCCAGCCGAATTTGAAATATTTCAAAACCCTACGCGTCTATAGTTTTGAAATGGAATGTAGTGCGTGGTGTCTCCAACGAAATTACCGAAACTGAAATAACACCAAAATTAACATACATGTAATACATGTAGAACCTTGGAAGTTGGAAGGCTGTTGGAATGCGCATGCAAGATGTGCTAGAGCTGTTAGCCAGTTTAATAGTTGTAGAACGTCAGTACCGTCGGTCAGTGTCGTGCAAAGTTATCGCATGAGCTGATTGTCAAGTAACTGTTGGTGTTAGGGGCAATAATAGCGTAATTTGTAGTTCCTTGGTCGATCCTTTTCATTTCTATAAATGCATCCTTGGCTCTCCATCCGAGTCCACCCATACTTCAGTGATAAATAGTTCTGCTCTGGTAGCTCTGGGTAATAGGTCTTGATACTACCGCTATTGCCTTGGGCTTTTGGTATGCACTGATGTGCATATCTCATGACTTTGTTAGCTTGAGAACCATCCGATGCAGTTTGAGTACCTCCCGTTTCTCTTTTCACGACGCTGATGCATCTTGCACAATAATTATGATGACTGCACTAGATCCGACCTCCCCCTTTCATCCTGAAGTTTAAATTAATGATAGTGGAGTGCAAAGGAAATTGTAAAAACTAGAAATACAATGCCTATTTCGAGAGGTCTTAGGATATATATTTCAACTGCCTCGACTTAGTTAAGAACTTCTTTGTTGGTTCTGGTGTGTCTATATGTCTGTGCGGTGCGTACGTATTTTTGTCCGATTCTTCAGGTTGCAATTCATCGTTCATCGAACAGCCAGACGTCGTGGCTTTTGCTCCCGTACCGCTACTACCAAATATGGAACCCGGCCTGGCGCAGGGTGCACGCGCTACTGATACACAACCTACTGTTCAAGCGCTTGCTCGTGCAGCATATTCAGTGGCAGAACCTTGCTTGCTCTACCCTGGCCAGATGGATATCCTCGCCGGCCAGACTGGACCATCCAGCGCTGCGTCTTCCCACATGCAGCCAATGTGCCTTCCCATGATTCAAGACCTAAGACCAATGCATCCTGCTGCTGTGTCGTCATCATTCTTACCCCAAACTCCGACCACCCTGAGTCACGAGCCAGTTCGCTATCAGATGCAAACCACCAACCATACTCAAGCATTTCCCTCGTCGCTGTTTAGTGCCGTGGATAGGAGTTTACACGTTGCGAGCACTGCTTTGCATCCTGGCAACCAACACCACATCAAGGTGGATACTCAATGCCGTCACGTGACCTCGTCTCTAGATCTCTATGGTGACTCGCAAGTTGGCATGCAGGTCGCAGACTGGATGGCCCCAGTGGCTGTGGATGAAACGCTTCACGATTCTTTTCGAGAAGGTTTCCTTCCATGCGGGACCATGGTACAGTCTCTATTGGCGAGTGGTGGTCGTTCCGAAGGCCTCTTCGATGGTCTCTCTCAACCTTCCAGTGCGACCGATAGTGAGGAAGATCTTCTAATTGCTGCTGTAGCAGCCTCGCTGGTAGATCCGTGTGAACGTGGACTGGCCTCACCCGATGGGCGTTTTAAAGGCTACACCGGCCAGGGATTTCAGGAGACCTTCACCTCCGCCAACTTGTCCACCAGCAACGAGAAACATCAGGCCTTTTGCGCTCCATACAGAGAACGGCTATCCAGCGCAAGCAGTGCTAGCTCGCTGAGTGTGATCTCGTCCACCGACTATCGGTCCGATCCTGCCGCCATCCCTGGCGCTCTGGGAGGCCTGATCAGCGATCTGAGCGCAGTTGGACCTTCCGTCGTGGTGAAGCCCGAACAGGAGGAGACGTCCGTGCAAACCCATCCCATGCACGCAATGCTGAAGTCATCACCACCGGCGAGGCCAACGCGCCGCCGCCGGCGACCGTCGCCAGCACCGAGCCCAGAGAAGGTGCACCGCGAGCAGCTACGCCGAAACGAGCGACTCGCCACGGAGCTCCGACGGGAGAACGCCGCTCTTCGGCGAGAAGAGAAAGCGCTCAGGGACAAGCTCGAGCAAGTCAGACAGAAGATCATTCTGAGCAATGCCGGCGATCAGGCAATCTCCAGTGCAATGGCGGCGGCGCTGTGTCCCACTGTGGGGAAGTCTGAACCGGAGTGACTTTGACATAATACGTTAGGTGTTGTATTTCATTCCCACGGGCAGATGATAATAATTATTAGTTCTCTACTCAGTTTAATTTGTGCGCCCACCACTTGATTCCAAGCACAGCTCCCTGTTGAGTGACTAGACCCGTATTTCTGATTATTCATTCCCTGCATTCATTGAGAATTCACCCTATCGCCTGGTATACACCATTGTACATAGTGTACGTGTGGATATTATAGGAATCGTGCCTAGTACCTTCATGTTAGTTCAATCTACAGTAGTGTCTTGTTCCCTTTCACGTGGACATTCAGTGATATCATGACTTTCCATCTTGCCCTATGGTTGGTTATCAGTCCACTCTCGCACAATGTGTGCGGATAAGATCAAGAATTGGTTGTATATTGTACTAGGAGTCGAGTGACATGAAAATCGTGCATGTCTATTTAATGCATGGGTTTGCTTCATTGTGCATGTTCGGGAAACACTACACACACACAGAGAGAGAGAGAGAGAGAGAGAGAGAGAGAGAGAGAGAGAGAGAGAGAGAGAGAGAGAGAGAGAGAGAGAGAGAGAGAGAGAGAGAGAGAGAGAGAGAGAGAGAGAGAGGAGAGAGAGAGAGAGAGAGAGAGAGAGAGAGAGAGAGAGAGAGAGAGAAAGAGAGAGAGAGAAAGAGAGAGAGAGAGAGAGAGAGAGAGAGAGAGAGAGATAGAGAGAAAGAGAGAGAGAGAGAGAGAGAGAGAGAGAGAGAGAGAGATAGAGAGAGAGAGAGAGAGAGAGAGAGAAGAGAGAGAGAGAGAGAGAGAGAGAGAGAGAGAGAGAGAGAGAGAGAGATAGAGATAGAGATAGAAGAGAGAGAGAGAGAGAGAGAGAGAGAGAGAGAGAGAGAGAGAGAGAGAGAGAGAGAGAGAGAGAGAGAGAGAGAGAGAGAGAGAGAGAGAGAGAGCGAGCGAGAGAGAGAGAGAGAGAGAGAGAGAGAGAGAGAGAGAGAGAGAGAGAGAGAGAGAGAGAGAGAGAGAGAGAGAGAGAGAGAGAGGGAGGGAGGGAGGGAGGGAGGGAGGGAGGGAGGGAGGGAGAGAGAGAGAGAGAGAGAGAGAGAGAGAGAGAGAGAGAGAGAGAAAGAGAGACAATAATACATGTAATTGTGCAGTCATGTGGTTCAAGTCTTCAAATGTTTCACTCAGGTCATGTCTGATATCGGCACAAAAGAAAATTAGTGAGTGTACATCTACTTCACTTGCAGACTTGCGTGTTTTTCTTGCGACGGATGCACATGGTACTTAGCTTCTGTTTCAATTTGCTCATTCTGCGGGTGCCCGAGTTAAATGTCGGAAAAGGTAAGTAGCTCTAGAGTGCAGTATAGAGAACATTATGCCAAATACGCAGTCATTAGGAGAGACTATACCAGCAAAGTCGACTCATATACTTCAATATCTAATTGGATCTGTATAGAAGACGCTGCTCAGTGGTATTGAAGTTGTGGTTGATCGACAGCGTATCTTTTAGGTACATGTGACATCCATTGGTCTAGTTTGAGTGACACTAGGCATGCAACCGGACAATGTTGGTGAACGGCTTCATTACCAAAGAACTTTGATTGGTTTGCCATTTAGCTAGCTGTGTGGCGTGATATTGTTTCCGGGGACTGGTTTAGATTCTTGCCCATGTGTCTAGCCAATTTATAGCAGCCCAAGCTATTCGAATTGCCGGATTATGTCTTCTTATCTGGTCTGCACTCCATCCGCTTGAATGCGTAAGCAATGCAAACGCGTTGTCCCTTGCACACTGTGACAGGTTTGTGATGTCTGCATGCAATTCTGGGAGAGCGTACCGTGGCAGGACGAATGTTCCCGTGAAGTTGCAACATGATCTGAGTATAATCGTAGGACATCAAGTCTTGACTCTACTTGTGACATGATCAATTCTGCTATGCTCTAATGCAGACTTGCAATAAGAGGCATTTGTCAGATACTAGTAACCATGAGGTACTCAGACGATTCTCTTTAGCAAACCACCCACTCTGCTATAAATGCTCTAAGTTAATAATCTGTCATCTGCCTGCTCCAACTTGGCTGTCCTCCTGACAAGTGAAAACCGCTGGCGTCGTCCGGGCCATAAACACCATTATTGGCATTAATCCAACGCCTCCCTTGCTCCTCATCTCTTCAGCTCGTAACAATAGGTCTGGCACATCGAGAAACTAGAATACTTGGAGCTCTTAGTTCAAGCTACATTTTCAGAGTCAGGAAGTTTGAAATGGCAAGAAACCCAGCTTCCCTTCACCTTGTGCAATGTTTTACTAGAGCAAAGGCGCTGGCGGGAACAGAAAGCTTTCTATCCAGCAACGTTTCTTTCTCAGCAAAAACAAATAAAAAGGAAAGGAACAAAAAAGTAGCAACACCAGGGATTTGTCCATACCCGGTACCCGGGTATACGTATGGATTATACCACCGAATATTTTCACGAGTACATTAGCACGAGGGAAAATATAAGGGACACGGTATACACAGAGGACGAATGGTATAGAGGTTATGTGATAACGTCAAATCCGCCATATATAGGAGCCAGTTGGGGTGGCAAAATGCCCAAAGCGGGTACAGAAACCCCTTATATAGAAGAATTTGGGGGTGGCAATGACGTGTATCGCATAACCTCTATAGTCCATGTATCCTATGTACTGTCCCAAATAGAGCGTGACCAGCACTAAAATCTCCCTTATTGGCGTGACCCGGGGAATATTCGTGACCCCAGCGGGGTATATTATTGACCCAGTGACCCCAGCGGCCCAGCGGGGTATATTATTGACCCCGGCGGGGTATATCGCTGTATACCCCCGTTCAGAACGGTCGCTGGTTGGCTGAAATGGCCCAAACCGTTTCGTACCATGGGATAAAGGTGTGTAGCCCCTGGCAAGGCTCTCCATGATCCAGTACAACATGGTACAAAGGCCACGGCCAAGTGTCCCACTGAGCTGCGGTCGCTTGCCCGGACCGCTGGGACTAGACGCGGACACCTGCGAAGAGAAGCCTGTGGCGTTTATTTTTTATGAAAGAAAACCCGCAAATATAGATAAGCCTTTCGCTCTCCCAAAGGTGCTCGCCCTTTTTCGCCCTTTTTGGCCCTTTTTGGAAAAGCCCGTTTCTTTCGCCCTTTATTGCGTTTTTTGGTGAATATCGCCCTTTTTGACCTTTTATAGCTGAAAAAGTGCTAAAATCTGTTTGCTCATGCATGCGATCACAGTGTCCGAGTGCTCCATGGGCCTTGGCGTGCCGCTTTTTTGGGGGCAACAAGTTGGTGAAGCTTGTACCCGGTGTACACAATGCTGTAAAAAGTGGGTTTTTTTAAAACTGTACTTCCTGTTTTGCCTTTAATAATAATAATAATAACTTTATTAGGATGACCCAAAGGCTGACCGCCTATCGTGGGGTCCGTCGCATTGAAGGATGATGGCACAAGAGAGTACAGATTGGGAAAAGGGGGGGGGGGGGGACTACGATGAACAGGGTAACGGCATGCCAGCGTGTAGACCTGAATACTGACAAGAATGTTTGCGCAGCTCTTTCTTGAATACATGGAGAGAAGATTCCGAAGTCTATGTGGCTATTAGGAGCACCACGGACACTTCAATGGTCTCCTCCGGGGCGCTCCTCTGGACCCAGTTGCGGAAAAGTTACGATATAGTTTGTGAAAATGAAGAAAGTTGCGAAAGTTGCGATTTCTTCCAAAACAACAGAAAGTTGCGAAAAAAGTGGCGAGCATCTTTGGGAAAGGGCTATGTGTCGAAGGCAAATCGAAACTTACGCCGTTGCAAGGACGACCTGATGAATCTTGCTTGGAGTTTGTCTAGCTCACACAAATCAGACGCAGGTAGCCGGTACGCCCACACCACAACACCATACTCTATAACGGGTCGAACGTAGCTCTTGTAAAGGAGCATCATGCATCATGGCTTTGGGAGTAAGCGCTGGGCCATGTAACATAGCAACGTAATTCTCCGTTTGAATTTTCCACTCATATCCACATGCATGTAATGCTGGTGGAAGTTCAGATTAGCGGTGAAGCGAATTCCCAGATGTTTCAGCACATCGGTACCGTTGAGAGGAGCCCCATCTATTTGCCATATGTGAAACTTGGGCAAACCCCCTAGAGCCAGACTCTCTATACGAACTCCCCGACTACTCCCTTTATAGGCATGATCGGCAGCACTGTAGAGGCGGAGGAGTCGCCGTGTATGTTCACTCATCCATCCCACACAAACACAAAACAAACATCACGATGAGCAACTTCGAATCACTCTGGCTCGAACTTGACCTACCGAATGTATCACTTACAGTCGGATGCTCCTACCGTCCTCCAAACACAGATCCGTACACATTCTGCCAACAGCTGGAGCCCTGTCTAGGTCTCTGCAACATGAACTCTCTGTTTCTATTGGTAGGAGATATGAACGCAAAGCACACCTCATGGCTTCCCACTGATATCACTGATAGAGCTGGCGACCTGCTGAGCTACCTACTAGACACTGCAGGATTAAACCAGCACGTGTCTTTTCCGACCTGTATTTCCAGAGGCAACTTGAAGTCCTGCCTCGACGTTGTTATCTCCAACGTACCAGAAGAAGACCTATCTGTCACATCGTATCCCCCTGTCGGAGCGTCAGATCATGTACTCGTCGGAGGACATGTGTCCCTTGCATGCCCACCACAAGCACCAACACCCCAGCAAAACGTCGAAGCTTGGCGCTGGAACTGGGACCCTGATCGCGTCGTCGCACTGAAAGAAGCCCTGAGCTCAATGCAGCTTTTGCCACCAGCTGAGGAAATCCCGCAGTTATCAATGACAGACCTCTGGTCGCATTGGCATGACTCGCTTATCAACACAGCACACTTGTACTGTACTAACTTCGCACCACGACGTACACACCAGACATGCCCAGGTCGGCGACCATGGATGACTCAACAGCTTCTTTGCAGCATTAAACTCAAGCATCAGCTCTACCGTCAGTATCTCAGAACTCGCAGCGCCGAGAACTGGCTCACATTCGTTACTCAACGCAATAGGACCACAACACTACTGAGAGAAGCTAAATCCGCCTTCGTATCCACTACCGCGCAAGGCGACGTAACTGGTGTCCCGCAGCGAAACCTGTACAAGTTAATGAAATCACTGCGGTCGTCCCCGAAAAAGGAGCTTCCACCTATTTCAGCGAACGAAACAGTGGCTAGATCAGATGGAGAAAAGGCGGAAGCGTTTAACAATTTTTTCATTTCGGAAAGCCAGAAGTCCGTCTCCGGACCAACTGAAGCCGTGCCAGAGATTGGCGTGTCGCGCATCATCGGAAGCGAACT